AACATAAATTATAACTAAATTCTTTAGTATTAACTAATAAAAAAAAAACCAATTAGAATATTTATTAACTATGAAAATTTCACATGTTATTGAATATGCTTCGATTTAAATTAAAATTTAATCTTGAGTTATTTTCTCGAATCTTAAGGCTGATCGCAGTACTAACGGACTCATAATTATCAATATCATTTTCACATGATTAATTTCTTCTACCAGTGTATAATTGTTTTAAAAAAGGTTTCCTTTAAAATGTGAACATAATTTATTATTAGATTAATTGATTCATACCTTTATTATAATTATTTAGTGAACAACATTAGTAAATCATTTTACCTCTATGAAGAGCCTTGAATTGCTTTGGACAAACGACTAGCTTTTGTCTGCTTATAAATTGCTTTGGATCGTTTATATAATTTTTTTGGCTTAACTGGCTTTCTTGTTGAACATTATTGACCTTATTTCTGCCACTCACTTTGAAAGATTCAAAGATTACAAATAATATGAATTTGTATTTTGATAAATGCCAATGCAATTTAATTGAAAAAATACATTCTTATCTTGGTACTGAATAGCATTTTTAAAATCTATAATATATGTATTTTTCTAAAAAATTAATAACAAGATATTCAGAAAAGAGTTTTTTGCAGATAAGTGAAAGAAAAGAGTATGAGCGAGTCATTAGATATGTGCTCCGTGCAACTGATTTTTTATATTAGTTCAGTTAATGAATTCCTGTAATAATACAGTATTGATATGCAGTATCACATTATATCGATATGCATATTAGTGTTAGAATTTATTATAATACGTATAAATACATATATAAATAATTTTAAAGTATTAGAACCAGTTTATCTTATCATTGGTGGACTAAATAAATATATTGTTTTGTCTGCAAATATGCTGTATAATATATTATTTAGTTTGCTAATATAGAATAAATAACTGGAAACTTGGTTTATAATATGTTCTTGATAGTAAATAAGTACCACATATAAAAAAAAGTTACAAGTTTAATAATAATATGTAAGATTCTTACTGGTATATATTAATATTATATAAATATATAACTTGTCAGCCTTGCCATTTTATTTCCAAAATTTAACTTTTTAACTCGTAAAAATGGATGAATCCTCAAATGTAAATGAACCTAACAAACTTGTTCAACATTTGACCAGGGTTTACGTAAATTTTTGCATTTTTGCATTTTGACTATTTCTGAAATTCAAGCAAGTTTTTACTTAACTAACGTACTAATAGTAAGTCTTTGATTATGGGCACTTTAAAATATAATATTATGTTACATTTATTGTTATTTTAATTTATTATATTGGTTTAATTGATTAGGCTTACTTATCACCATTTTTAAGTCTTCTTTGGTTAATAATAAGCATCATTATCATCACCAAAACATCTAATAGCAAATTGCGATTCAGTTTATTAGTATGTTCGTTTGATTTCTTGTTATTTAATTTATTTATCGTACATGTCTATTTATTTTTTCTTTTAGATTTTAGTCTTTTTGCTAGGACTCTCAATTGGGCTTAGATTTAAAATCATCTTCTTGATCCCTGAATTGTAATTTCTTTTTAATTATTTCTTTTTCTTTGATTACCACCACAGAATAATTGATAAAATTTTTCGACTATTTACAGGAGCTATGATGCGACTAATTTCTGCAAATTGAACTTTCTAATTTTTATCTTTTTCGTAGTACTGCTTTTATTCAACAATGCAATTATTACAGAACTTGGACTTATTGGGAAATTTGTAATTTCTATGTATGTTTGGTATTTATTCGTTAACTTCAGATAGATTAATTGTTTGAATTATATTAGATTCAGTTTGAATTATTATTCTGAATGGTTTTGTGTATTAGGAATATATAATGCAAATTTCTCATATATTTCTCATCATAACTTAATATATTAACTGTTAATTATTATTTTTTCATTACGCAGCCATATTTGGAATTGAATTTAATATCCTCCATCATTATAATCATAAACTTTTTTTTGTCATCATTTATACTTTTTTAAACTACATTATATTCGCTTAGTTTTCTGATTTGGATTTAATTAGATAGCTTTGCTTATTTGGTATATACAATCTATTTCTCACAATTTTTTGGTTTAAATATAGCATTAATTATTTTTATATTTCTGTATTTACAGCCTTATTCAGAGTTGAAAATCATATTTATCATTTGGCAAAATCAGAATCTCGTGATATTATAGAGCATACTCTCTATTTGTTTACTTTTTTTGTCTTATGTCATTTAATTTTATTTGAATTATTAATTTAAAAATTAAAATTAGCTGCACAATATTAGATAGGTGACTGTCAGTTGTTTTTGGCCCAAATTAAGTTTAATTTGGATCGAAATTAGAATTTATTAATAAATTGTATTTGCTCCCTTTTGAAAGTAAATCGAATTTAAGTGAGATATGTAACGTGGTTTTTATTGTGCTTTGCAAAAAGGTGTGATCCTATGATTTTTGTAATGATTGATGAAAATTTCGAGTTTATATAAAAATTCAAGTTTATTACATCAATTATTATTAATTGTTAACATGATAAACTCGAATTTTGGTGTGATAAACTCGAATTTTCATGTGATAAACCGAATTTTTATATGATAAACTTAAATTTTTAAAACTGGTTCCAACCTCTATTGCAAACCCTTTTTGTCGACTCATAAAATTTTTTTACTTATCGCGTTATTGTCAGAATTATTTTTCTTTTATTGTAATTTGTTCACAGTGGCACGTGATTTAACAGTCCCACGAGTCTGGGCGATACCGAAAATTATCAATTGATAAAATTCAATATGCGTATAAATTTTAAGCGTTTCTGTTAACGCAATCAAGGCTGTCATTGTCATTTTAATATTTTATTTTTAATATTGAAACATTTAATAAAATTATTTTTTATAAAATTTTTGCTTTCAATTTGGAAGCATATCAAGCATCATATGAAGCAATTTAATTGTTGTAATGTTATGAGTAATTTAATTCACAAAGTATCATAACTTTTTTTAATTGATAAGAATTAAAATTATTTAAATTTTAGAAACTTGAACAATTTAAGTTTATATCAAATTATTGGCACTTGTATAATGATGATAAAAAATATAAATACTAAACAGCTTATGTCATAGTAATGATAATGTTCTTACAAACACTTAAACATTTAAATGAATTTATAATTTATGTGCATCTTAATACTAAGAACAAAAAAGCAATTGAAAAAGCTTTTTTGAAACAAGACTTTGAGACTTGTCAAAAAAATCATTAGTAATATATTGCGTAAAGGCTTTGTTTCAACACAAGGTAAAGGGGATAATTTGGCGCATAGAAGAAAGTAAAGTATAAAGTTGTGTCTTTGATACAAAAAATTTATTAAAATCAAAAGAGTAACTTCGAATTTTTGTCACACGTGACAAAGTTCGAAGTTACTCTTTTGATTTTAATAAGTTTGTTGCATCAAAAATGCAACTTTTGTACTTTGTATAGAAATCAGATAATTGATATTAATAAAGATTGTTGACCCCTTAAAATAATATTTGACAGAACATCTCGACAGAACACCCCACCGAACAGGCAACAAATAGTAACACTAAACATCATATAGAATGCTTTAAGCGTACACCAGGATGCAGTAAAAGACTTTAAAGATAGTATTTCAGGTTCTTATAATAAATTTGAGAAAAAACACATATTTAGACGATTACAGGTCTGTTATTTCTTCATTTGCATACTTTTGTTGAGATGATGAAAATTTTTACAAGTTGCTATATAGCAGAACGCAGGATAGAAAATTTTTTTTTATAAATAAACCATGAGTCTTGCAGTTTATCGAACCACCTTTCTTATCTCAAAAAGTTTATGGTTATGAGCCTTACAGCTCAACTTACAAGCCTCCTTTAGATAATTTATGGTCATAAGCCTTACAGCTCAACCAGAGAACCACTCTTTAGATAGTTCATGGTCATGAGCCTTACAGCTCAACCAGAGAACCGCTCTTTAGATAGTTCATGGTCATGAGCCTTACAGCTTAACCAAAAAACTGCCCTTTAGATAGTTCATGGTCATGAGCCTTACAGCTCAACCATCAGAACATTAATAAAATTTTCTTTTTACTTTACTGGAATATTGAAGAATTTGATTAGCAACATCCATCAGGGTTTCTGATTTTTTATTAGATATATACGCTTTATTATAGTAATAATAATTACTAATAATTCATTTATATTTAAGCGTGATGAACAGATAATTAAGGAAAATTGGTCTAGTATCCTATATAATATCAAGGGGTATAAAGAGATTTTAGAAATAGAACAAAGAATTAAAAATAACTGAGAAAATCCCTGGCAGAAGATAGTCAAAAATATAATTGTAAGTTATATATTTATTTATTTATTTAATCTTTTACTTAATAATGAAATTTTTTACAGATGGCAATTTCAGATCTGATCAAGAATATTTGATTGACTTTAAGAGATAAGTTTTGCAAAATCTTGAATGATTCAAGATCGATAATATAAAATCAGACCATCTTAACGAACAATACTATTTGATAGTTGATAATCTAATTTCTTGTCCTTTTTTTGGTTCTCTCTCAGATCACATTGTAGATTGGCTTAAAAATAATATTAACAATGTGAAATATTCTCTGTTTGAATACAATGAAAAAGAATCTTGGCTTAAAGAATTCATAGATACTTTGTAAGTATGTTAATACTGTTCGTGCTTATATTACATATAAGTTTGTTTTTTTATTAATATTTTTCAGCAAATGTAACAAAAGAATATTGTGGGTATCAGTATTGAAAACATGACAGAAACTGAATAGTATATAGATGTATTAAATTCGCTGCTAAAAACTTTGGTCTCAGGCCTAAAGTATATGAAATTTACAATATAGGTAATAAGTTATTTAGAGTTAGGTTTACAGTTTTTATCTTATTCTTATTAAAATTTTATCTCTTAATATTAGAAATGAATCTTATACAGAATCAAGTCAACAAGCAAGCAAAGGATCAAGATCATTATTTAATTCTTCGAACCACACTAGTAGGCGATCATTAACCTCGATAGCAAATAATAATAAAAATACTTTAAATATAGCACCTTCTATTTATAAGGAATTAATATTTGTTAATTTGAGTTTAGAAAACTTTAATTTGGATAATAATTTTTCTAGTAGAAGTAATAGAATACGCCCTGATGGTAAATTTCTATGTAAGGACATAGTTCACCAATTTGGAATGGAAGTAGATGTACTTGAAGTCAGTAAATCTAATTCATCACTTAATAAGAAAGAAAGGGATCGAATAAAGCTTATATTAGCAATGTTAATGTTTGGAGCCTATTTACATTATAATTTTGACAGTCAATATATGACAAATTCTATCCAAACATTAATTGAAGAAATCGGATTTATTACTTTATAAGTATATAATGAAAGATTAATTGTATACGGATATGATTTCACTAATAGTCTCATAAAGGTAAGGCAAACACTAATTGATGTCTTGATTCCAATTTAGCCAACAGTTAATGTTGAATTGGCAATGCTCTGGGACATAAAATCGGTAATCAATTTTGTAAAAGAAATTACAAAATTAAGAGAATTTTTAAGGAGAATTGACACTAGTTTTGGAATATTGGCCGATCAGCTTAGTAATAAAGCACTACATGAAACTTTAATTAGAAAGAAAAAATTTTACCAAAAATTTATTCATCTGAATTTATGTGATATATTGTCACGATGGGTAGCAATTTTGAAATTTTATTAAAATAAACAAATTTTTATATTTGCAAAATAAAAATTTATTGAGAACAATAGAATATTATTAATACAAACTTGTTATTTTGTATATTTTTATCCAAATAAATCTAAGTAAATATGAGTTAACCATTACTTAATTTGCTTGAAAAATATTTATTGATTTTTCCTTGAGCTATACTTAATTTGCCCAGAATTTTGCTTGAAATTAAAATTCAATTTTGCCTGGGGGTAGATATGTGATCTGTTATAAGTATTCCTATTTAATAATTATAGATATCCAGTATCTGGATTTTTTTATAATAATTTTATTATAAAATTGAATTAATGGATATCCAGATCGCATCTCTACCTGGAGGTATGCATAATTTTCCGGAATTATACTTAATTTTGCTTGAATTTATATTTTATTTTGCCTGGAGTTATGTCTATTATACTTAATTTTGCTTGAAGTTATATTTTGATTTTGCCTGGAGTTATGCCTAATTTTGCCCAGAACTATATTTAAATTTTGCCTAAAGTTTTGCATCGAAAATTATATTGATTTTTGTTTGAAAATTTTTAGAAATTGATTTTGCCTTGATAAAACATGTAATGAGTGTGCAAAAGCAAATATAATAAGGCAAATTATAACAAAAAATAATAAAAAATTTTTGATAACTTCAATGATCATTGCTCAATATGTGTTACCAAATTCAATAGCACGAAAGAAGGTTATAAATTTAAGTGCGAGTAATAATATAGAAATTGTCACAGCCCAGGTAGAAGCAATAGAGGATTGTAACCAATAAATGGATGTCTATATCAGAAATAATATTGCACATACATCTTTAAATATAATAATGCTAATTAGATAAGAATATTACAATTAATTGATAAATAGAATTAAAAATATAATACTAAAATAATTCCAAATTTCTGTAATCCAAGTTAAAGGAGAAAAAATATATTGCCGAATTTCAAATGCAAAATGTAAAATCCCAAAAATAATATTTATAATTAATAGTAATTTTTGAATATGATCCGATAATCCTTCAATTGTAGCATAAAAATAAGGTAAAAAATAAATATAGCAAAAAAAATAATATTTTTCATATGTATTCTATTTGAAATTAAGAAGAGCTTCACTATACCAATATTTATAAAGTTCAGGGAATTGATGTTTAGAAAAATTCTAGGTTTAAAAAAAATTAATTCTTTTTAAGAATTATAAGTAATACTATATGAACTAAATTTTAGTAATAGAAAAATTAAAACTACAACTTGAAAATCTTTATAAAATATTTCATCTAATCAACTTGGGTGTGAGGGTAAAGAAGTATTAGAAAATGCTTTTCACACAAATAAGACTTTTTTATACAATTTCAATTTGTATTAACTTCATTACAATTGAAGAGTTATTAATTTTTCTTTGTAGAAATTTTCATAATTTTGTTGTAATGAGAAATTTATTTTGTTAGAGCAAATAATAAATCACAAAGTTTCTTTACAACTTATAAAATCACATAATTAATGAATGAAAATAAAAGTTCCCATGACTTATTGTCATGAAAAATTAAGACGTGGCTACTACATAACTAAATTCGATAAAATATTTATTATTTGAATTCTGATTATTTTTGCATAGCTTTCTTCATGATAAATTCTTTAAAAGTACTTTAAACTGTATAAATATGATGAAGCTTCAGTCGATCTAAATAGATTATTGAAAATGAACCCAAATAACAAAGAACATATTCGTGTCAGGTATATATTAAAATTGATAAATCAATCTGAATAGATTATTAGTCAAAAATAAAGAGATATTGAGTATTCGAGCTCAAGCATATACTGTGATTGGTGATTATGAAAAAGGTTTAGTCGATCTGAATAGATTATTAGAAATTAATCCTAGTAATATAAAGACATTAAAATGTTACATTCATATGAATACAAGTTTCTTCTGAATGAAGAAAGTTTATATTATAAATTTAAGAATTTTTTTGATACTAGTTCGTAACCTTATGTTTTCATTTCAAAATTTAGTTAACAAAGCTATGACGAATAAAGAATAAATTACTATACTTCGATTTTTTTGATTGTAAACCAGTTTATGGTATCACGTGATTTGACAGTCCTGCGAGTCCATAAAGTAACATTTAATTTTCAGAGTTTCAAACTCATTCATTATGATTCTTAACTATCTACTATCTAATTATTCGAGACTATCTTTATTCTTTATCTTTTGAAAAACTAAAGTAATTCAATCTTATTGTTCTTATTAGAAATACTACACAAAACGACCTACGTATTTAATAACACAATAATATTAATACATATCACCCTACTACTTAACCTGAAGTTATTAATGTTTTAACTCATAAAAGCATTTGTATAAGTTTTTTGTTGTAATAATATATTAAACAGTAACTTCTAAATCTTAGAGCTTATATATAGTTAATATTACTAGTACTACATACTACAGTAAATTATAAAAATATTTGTCTCTAAATGATGATTTTTTATTAGTGAAATAATATATTCTTTAAAAGTACTTTAAACTGTATAAATAAGTTACCTGGTTTAATTTAATTTTTCTATTGGTCAAGATAACGAGTAAATAATCTAATAATCTGTAGGTTACTTTAAACTGATATATATCTATAGATTTAAAGAACCTGTAGATTATTTATATTATCTGTAATAGAATATGTGATGAAACAGATTTAATATTAATGAAATTGTATGGAAAAGAATTTTTAAAAAGTTTTTTAAAGGTTCAATATTATTCATTAGCTGAGAAATAATGTAATAAAATAAAGAAACAAAAAAAGACAACTTTTTAAAAATTCAGTTATTAGACGTTTTTACTTTTTCATTCGTAGAATTAATACAATTTTCTCAATTATTAAAAAATTTTTTATCACATACTTTATTTATTCATTCGACTAATAACTATAAAGAAATTAAATTTAACAAATTTTTTCAAAACCACATCTTCAGAATTATATGAAATATTTACAACCTTATTCTACTAGTAAAATTAAAATGAAGATTCAACGGCTTTTTAATTTATTAATTTCTAAACTTTCTTTTCAAGTAAATCTACAAAAAAAAATAAAAGAAATATTTTATAAAGATTTTCAAGTTGTAGTTTTAATTTTTCTATTACTAAAATTTAGTTCATATAGTATTACTTA